AGCTCACAGTTTGAGGTGAGCTCCTAGGCTCAAGTGATTCTCTTGTCACAGCCTCCCAAGTAGCTTTGATGACAAGCGCCCACCGCTACACCTGGCTAGTTTTTCTGTTTTTAGTCGAGACAGGGTCTCACTTTTGCTCAGGCTGGTCTCCTGTTTTTTTTTTTGTTTTTGTTTTTGTTTTTTTTTGAGACAAAGCCTCAAGCTATCTCAGCTCACAGCAACGTCCAACTCCTGGGCTCAAGGGAGTCTCCTGCCTCCGCCTCCCAAGTAGCTGGGACCACAGGTGCCCGCCACAACGCCCAGCTATTTTTTTGGTTACAGACGTCATTGTTATTTTGGTGGGTCCGGGCTGAACTCAAACTCGCCACCTTAGGTGTATGTGGCTGGCACCTTAGCTACTTGAGCCATAGGCGCCCAGCCTGGTCTCAGACTCCTGAGCTCAGGCGATCCACCCACCCTGGCCTCCCAGACTTTAATTTCTTCCAGAGATGTATTCAGTTTCTTGACAGTTTCTTGTCACGTAATCCTATTCATACTGCTGTTTCAGTATGAATGGTAGCTTGTTTCATCGCAAGGAGCAAGCAGGAACCAGAGAAAGAAAGTCAAGAGAGAGAGTGGATGCACACACAAGACAGAGAGGTCTTTTGTAAGTTTCATCGCAAGGAGCAAGCAGGAACCAGAGAAAGAAAGTCAAGAGAGAGAGTGGATGCACACACAAGACAGAGAGGTCTTTTGTAAGTTAATCTGAATATGCCATCAGTTTTGCCATATTCTGGTTGATATAAATTTGTCCCTGGATCCCCGGCCCACTCACAGAGATGAAGGGGTGAATACCAGGAGACATAGGGATCACTGCTGCTCATGCTAGAAGGCAGCTGTAACACAGGTGAACTATATAATATGCTATAGTATTTCCTTTCTCATATAACTCTTTGATATCACTAGAATTTGCTTTTTTGTTGCCTTTTTTTTGTACTTTTTAATAATTCATCCGTAACTTGTACACTACAATTTCAATGGTTCCTTCAGTCTTTTTTTTTTTTTTTTTTTTTTTTTTTT